CCTTCTCCAGAGTAACCAGGCCCAGCTCCTGCAGCCTCCCCTCATCAGGGAGAGGCTCCAGACCCCAAACCATCCTTCTGTTGTGGGCAGATCACACAAACACGAGCACTGTGGGCTGATGGAACTCCAGGTTTCTCACAGTTTATGGCAAAAGGCTTTCAGCTCAATTTCCCAAGTCATAAAGAGAGGAAAAAGTATTTATGATTCAAACCATGGCAGATTGATGCACTGTGCTTGGTTCAGATGATCACAGAACACAGCAGCTGCTTCTGAGCTTGTGGAAGCCCACCAGTGTCAGCCCCACTGCAGAACACACATCTCACTGCCCCCAGTCTAGCCCAGGGTCTCTCACAAGCACAGAACCCTTGAAATGGTTTCCTCGAGGTGTTTAAAAACACCAGCACACAGATCAGCATGCAGCAGACAGCTCAAACCATTTGTTAACTTGAACTCAAATTAAGCACAGCAGCTTCTATCAAAAGCAAAAGCAGGTTACTTCTCAAACTGTGAGAAGTAAATATTTCACTTGAGCAACTGTGGTGACAGCTTTCTTTTAGTACTTTAGTCTTGAAGTTTATACAAATCACAGTTACTTTCCTATAGAGCAGAGGAGTCTGTAACACTGCAAAACAGCATTGTGGGCAAGCACAAAACCCAATTCCTGACCCATTAAGGAAATTTCAGAGTTGATTCTACAAGACCACAAGGGTTTCTTCACTTATGCACATGAGGAACATTATTTTCCTTGCACTGCAGGGAAGTGTCACTTTGAACTGGAGTCTCCATCCCTGAAATTTAGGACATTTCCTCAAGGTTTCTTTCTGGCTTCTTCCCCTCCCCCTGTTTTTCTTGGTTTTTTACTCTCTTTCCCTGTTGTGCTCTATTTTGTGTCATTTAGACCATATACTTTGATGGAGGGCATCCTTCTCCTCTGAATTTATGAATCAAAATGTATTCTCCAACGGATACCTGGAGGTATAATTTGCCCCCTAACACTCTTCAATCTTTATTACTGACACATTCAAGGATGCCTAACTCCCACAAGAAAAAAAAAAAACAAAAAAAACCCCACATTAATCTTCAAAAATGTGTCCTTACCTGCCTTCTGAAAATGAAAATGGATGTTCTTTGAGAAATTACCTGAGTTTTGCTTTAAACCCCCAGGATCATACACTTTTGGAAACAATTTTGAATCTAAAAAACTTATAAATAAAAATCTGCTGGTGTATAAATACAAATCCTGCACTGTGCTGTTTCCTTGGAGGCAGGAAGCATTCCCTCATTCCTGCTGGATGGAATCTGGGGGGTTCCTGCACCCCCTCTTTGTGCAGACACGACAGAGGGAATTTATGGAGGTGATGCTCCATGATGGAAACAGCTCCAAAGCAACTCCATCACCCATCCCTGCCCATCAAACACCCAGGCAATTACTAACAGGAGCACCCCTATCTCCAAACTCCCCATTTAGCAACAGACTTCATAAATAAGAGCCATAGAAAAAGAAATTTTGAAGACTTGTAGGAATTTTTAAAAAATTTCTTCACTTTGAGCTGATCCTGCATAGCTTAGATGCACAGATGGAGTTGACCAGAAAAAAGTTAATTCTTTCCTTTCTCCATTTAAATTTTGTTTTGTTTTAAAAGTATCTACTCAGAAATAACTTTTTGTTTCCTGATGATGCTTTAGAAATAAAAATATTCCTTCATTTTCATCTCTCAATATTATTGGCATAGACATTTACTAATGCATACTAAGATTCTACTACATATGCCATTGGATTTAAAAACTGAGCTCTCCAGATGTCCAAATTTTATTTAATTTTATTGTAAGTACCTCTATTTTGATTCTTTGCTCTGGAATGAGAATTTTTAGGCTATGCCATTGCTCCATTTCTGAAAATGCTGAAGCATGGAGAAACAATATGGACTATCCAGTATGGACAAATCCTGCCAGATGTTTTCTATGTCTACATCTCAGTGCCTCCCACTGGGCAAAACCTCCAGTCTCCTGTTCCCTCTGATGCACAAACATGAAATAAATCATACTTAAAATAAAAAAAAAAAAAAAAAACCAAACCCTCTCCTCAAACAATTTATATTCAGCTAATTTGCCTTAAATGCAATGAAGAGTTTCTCAAAAGCATCAAGACCAAGCAGTGGTAAATGTTACAGAGAGATAGAAAATAGGAGTAATTTTAGTTAGTGTTTTAGCATGCTTCAAAAGAGTTCATCTAAGCCTCTGGTGCATATACACATTAATGATGAAAAATGTTTTTCTCCATGTCCATCCTAGAGAATTTTTTACTTTAATTCAGCTTCTTAATTGGTGTCTAGGGCTGCTACCTTTTATAGAGCACACCTACAATCACAGGCAGTTGTTAAACCAGTTAAAGGTTTAAATAAAACCTAGAGAAGCTGCAGGTTTTTACTGGAAATCATCAATAATCAGACTCCCCAGGACCAGTTTTAGCAGTGTCTGGACTGTGGAATTGCCCAGCACAATCTCACTTTCCCTTCACTCCTTATACAAAGGCTGTGTATCTTCATGAGCTACACCTGCAAATGCTGCTGCCTCAAATCCCAGTCATCAGCTGAGCTGCTCCCAACACCCATTCTCTTTTCCAAGCAGGGGAAAACCTGGTGGAAGGGTTTGCTGCTTCCTCTGCGTGTCTATTATAGCACACTGTCCTCTGAGATGCCAAGAAAAGCAAGATAAGAATCGCTGAGATAAAACCATTCCTGTCTCACAAATTGTCCCTCATGAGGATTTTGTCCTCCCTCTCCAGGTTGTGTCCTCTGGTGTTTCACACCTTCTAGCAAGGCTTGCAGGGGACAGAACATTTCTTCCCCCCGTGTTTCTACAACACATTTCATGTGAGACTGTGACAAGGAGCCAAAACATTTAGGATTTACACGAGTTCCCAGTAATCAGGCATTAATACCAGCAGTTATCCTGCAGAGGAATGGCACAGGGTACTCCCTGCAGCCTGAGACCTTTCCAGAAAAGCATTCATTCAAGCCTGGTGATGTGCACACCCCTTATCCCACAAGCAGGAATCCAGTCAGACATTTCCCCCTCCTGAGCTACTCCACATTTCCTCCTCCATTTCTGTCCCCACCTCACACAGACAATTTTTTATAATAATTCAATTTCACGAGCCAAACAGAAATACAACAGAGTTACATAAATAACATCAATATTAAATTGGTACCCAGATTTTTTTTTCAGAAGAAAATCATTAGGCAGCTTGTCTCTAAAAGCTTCAATTATGGTTAAAAATAGAAGTTTTACATCTTTGACCATGAATGGTAACCCCACAGATCTGAAGAAGGAGATCTGACCACCATTTTCTACTCAAGACATAAACAGGAAAGGGGAGAAGATGCTGAACCCACAAAGATGACAGATAGCACAGAGCATCTTGTGGAAAAACAGAAAATATCTTTTTTCTCAAGCATTTCCTCTGACAAGACAATGTGAGACTGGATTTTAATTGCATATAATAATTAATTGTACTGTTAAAATTGTGCACAGCCCTAAATTTTGGCTTGCAAACCACTCAGATTTGGAATAAAAATTACTCTGGAATTTCAACAGATTGCAGCTTGTCATGTTACCTTCAAAGTAAAGGTATGGAATTGATTATTATTAAAAATCATGAGGAATTCTGCTTTCAGGATGTACTACCCAGCCATAACACCCATTCAACTGAGGCCAGGTTTCTTGCATGGAGACAGCATCATTATTTCATGAATCACCAGTGACCTTTGGAAGGCACTGGGAAAAGCAGCCATATTCATTCCCTTCCATTGATTTTCTAATTTTGAGTAAATTGGTTTAATCTGGGGAATGGTTATCTATGAGGAATAAAAATACCTAAAACTGTCTTTAGAAAACAGTAAAAAGCTTTTAAACTGAAACAATGAAATTTGGAAGGGAAACTTGAAGGAAGAAAAGGTAGTGACTTTATAAACCTCAACTTGGACACCATTCTATGGCCAGCCACCCTAATATGAATAAAATTAGAATCTCTTTAAATTTGAAAACACAGACCTACAGGCCCAAACCTTAGTTTCACTGCACTATGTGCCTGGTATCTGTGCCTGATTTACCCATGAAATGCTTGCTGTTGGAAAAGCCTGTAGAAAAAACTACCCACCCAGAAAGGGAAGTGTATGGGCAGCATTTTCATCAGGTAAAATGAAAAATAGTGAATATTGGGAATATTGGACAGTTCTGAGTCTAATCAACTTAGAAGACAAGCTCAGTGACTCAGCACACACCTGAAACAACCTGCAAGAACAGAATTTGGATGTCTCTATGAATCTAAGAGCACTCAGGGCTACTTCATCAAATGAAATTGTGATTTATAGAGTAACTTTTTGGTGCCAAGATTTTATATATTCTGGTATCTAAACCTTTAGATTAACAGATTGCCTCTACTGTATTATCTTCTGAACATTCAGTGATCATACCTAAGCTTTCTTTGCCATCAATTTATGGTCTCATCATGTCAATGACCTGTTATAAACACAGATTTTCGCACTATGGCAATTCACCTAAAGCCCCCTGAGGATTACCTGTTCCTTTCCTACCCCATTTTGTATTTTCTTTTTTTGGCTATGGGGTACCAATTCATTAAATCCACTCCTAAAAATATTCTTGGAAAGATATAGAGCACTAACCTAATAATCTCAGGGTGAGCTACATGCACAATTAACTCTAAGTTGAATTCTGCCTAAACCTAAGATCTTCTGTCTCACCACACAACATTAAGTGTCTTGCACAGAAATTTTGAACTGCTAGATTTATAAATACTGATCAGAGCTTAGAACTTCTTAGGTTCAAGTAAGAAATAAGCAAAACTCTTAAAAGACTCCCCAGAAACGAGCACCTGAATCCCCACACGGCAGCACCCAGAACCTCTGCTCACACCCCAGAAGGGCATTGGAGGCACAGCCATACAAAGGCGAAATGGAGAAAGGAAAGTTCTCGCTCACCTCCCGGTCCAGCAGCGCAGGGGACACCACGGTGACGATGTCTCCCTTCTCGGGGTCGATGTAGAACATGTTTGGGGAGGGTTTGGTGGGGGTCTGTCTCAGGATGTTGTAGCGCAGCAGAGCGTTGTCCGTGCTGGCGTCGTCGGCGTCGAACGCTGCCATGCGCATCACCGTGGTCCCTGGGGAAAGGGGCACACACAGCAGGCACTGAGCAAAAAAATCCCTCTCAGACCTCTCCAACTGGGCTGCCTCTGCCCGGGACAGCCAATCTGCGAACACCTCATCAACACCACACCTGATATTTGGGTTGTGCTTTGTCGGGATTATCTTTGCATGTTACTCAGCCCTAACACAAATTCCCTGTATCTCTGCGCTTTGAAGCCATCCATAATAATTTCGTTTCACTAAATTAACTACATGTGTTTCTCTTCCACTTTAAATTCTGCAGGCAGAAAGTCCACAGGTGGCTACAATGAAAATAATACTGAAATAACAAGGAGGTCTCTATTTGCATGGTAAAGTGTTGCAGCTCAAAATGTACTGGCTGTAATTTCTGTCAATAAGAAATGTTGTAATTATTAAAGCCTACATTGTTCTAATTTCAATCTGTACAGATTTATGACCTTATTTTATGAACATCAACAAGCTCCCATCTCTATTGCCCCACTGTCCTTGCAGTGCAGAAGGTTTCTGTGACAGGAAATTCCCTGAGCACAGAGTTGTGCTGCAGAGGTAAATGTAGCTCCCTGCACAGATTCCTAAATGCTGTGCGGAGGCAAAACCTCACTCTGCTTCTTTATCACAGTTCATAGAGAGAGGACTGAGCTGCTGCCAGTCCCATGCTTAGGAGAGGAGCACATCCTGCATCCCTGGATCAAGGATTTTCCTCTCCCCAAGACAGACAGCCCAAAGGCTGACACAGCCTGCAAAATTCTGTCAGCATTTTATCAGCTTTGTACTACTTTACAAAGTAGTACAAAGCTGATAAAACCTTGAGAAACAAAGAAAGGGTACGATGAGACACCTGGGCTGAACTGTGAGATGCTCACCCTTAGACCTAAGTGATTTCTTCATCTTACTGTAAATGTAAGCATTAGTTTGAAAAGCAATCTAACTAAACAATGTATGATCACAGTGAGATTAAATGTTTCTGGTAATATTGAGCTGAAGACAGAATGAAATTCTACCAAATGACAAAAAAAGCCACGATCAAATCAAGAAATTAATTTCAATAGTGAATCAACAATAAGTAACAGATTAATGTGAGATATTAGAAAACTGTAAAGTAAGGAGTCTAAGAAGGGATCCAGTCTTGGACCTAAAAATCCCAAGTGAAGCAATTTACCAGATTCTGTGATCTGCACCATTTCCACTGGAGTAACTTTCCACTGACACCATTATCTCATGTGTGAATCAGAGTGTCAGAGTGAGCCATAATTCTTTGTTACACATTAATTCCTCTGTGGGAACTCACCCTTTCTTTTCCCCACAGACTGGACAAGTATTATTTTAAACTATCATGATCAACACATTTGAAAGACAGCATTTTCATTTTTCATAGATCTGTAAGACCATGGGATCTGTTTTCATTATTCACAGATACTTCTGTGGAAAAATGACTATGAGAGGGTAAACCTGATACAGACAAGACCTAAGACATTAGCCTGAAAGTGCCTCAATAATAGAAATACGTATCATTCATGTACAGTGAGTTTATTTTTGTTCTGAAGGTCTTGGATTTAAAAAATCAAATAAAAATGAAATATTGTGGTAAAAATAAAAACAAACTCAGTCTCATTTATAGACTGATATAACAACTGCCTCTTCACTGTTAAACAAACTCAGCTGGCTTGTTTAGATACATATCTTCTTTTATTTTCTTCTCTTGTTGTAGTTCTCAGAGTACAAAGCGTTGCCTCTTCTTGTAGTGACCTTGAATATAAGCTCTCAAAGGTTTTATTTCATTGCCACTTCAGGCAGAGTTACCCCCTTGAGAAAAATAACAGAGACCTGACAGCATGTTGGTTTTATTCAGCCGTGATTAAAGGTCAGGCAGCTCAAAAAGAAGCTTACCACTGGATGCCATGCCATGTTTTCCAGTGTTACAAGATGATCCCAGCCCTGATATTTTCACCTACTTTGTGTGAGACTGATCCAGAAAAAAAGAGAGAAAAGAACTGCTTTTTTTTTTTTTTTTTAGAAGAATTAAGAGTCACCCTCTTTTTACAAGTACGGCACAATGCGCTGTTTTTAGAACTTTATCACATTTTTGAGAATTTTTTTTTTTATATCAATGTTAGATAACATATTTCACAAGGGTCTCCCAGTCACAAGGTTTCAGTGAAATAAATAAAGACTAAGGCAAGTCTTCAAGGAATCATAAAGAGTGCTCAAGTTTATGTGAAATTAAATGGGTTTCAGTACACAATGGTTTCCTGAAGAATGCACTTTAATAAAATGCCATACTCAAGTACAGTAGAAAACATTTGGAATCAATACAAGGTTGCTATTATTATTAATCTATTAGATGAGTTGATGTTCAGCAGAGATTTAGAAACTGATTGCAATATATATTCAAGTAGAAATCCTATTTATAAAGTTGTCCTACTGGAATATTTCTGATGATAAAACAGTGGAAGGCACATGCAAATTTTAAGATCTGATGTAAATCCCCTAATCTCTCATTACTCTGGCATAGAACTGGTTTAACACAATGGCTGAATCTGATTCTGATTTGCCAGCTGCAGTTCTTTAACCTTTCAACTCACTAGACATTATCTTGTTCCCTGCAATCATTCCTTTGGTGCATACAGATAAGAATTCCAGCAACTCAGATGAGCAGAATTTTACATTCATTTTGCACAGAGATGCCAGCACCAGGAGAAAAGCTGGAGAGAATTAGATACATCTTTTTTCTGTGCTTCTTCTCTCAAAAGTTTTGTGGTATTGTTTTCTGGTTACCAGCAAAGTGGTATTTAAATCTAATTCTAAAGTTATTCTATTCTCAAAAGTTCTCATTATGTATAAAAATGCACATAAAATGTGGGGCTGTCTTTAGTACAGATTGTGTCTAGTTTTGGTTTGGGAACCAGTACAGAAAACTGCACCCCTACATGCTTCATATTTGTGGCTGATGCCTCAAAAATCACAAGAGCTTTAATCCAGCAGTTAAAACGCACACCTGGAACCCACTGGAGAAGACATTTCCAGGGAAGAAATTCCCTATCCTCATTGAGGTGTCCATAGAGAGAACACAAATGACAAATTGGGATTGGAGCACCACAAAGGATAATGTTTATATAGAGATTTCCTTCTTGAAAGTATAGTGGTCCAAATGTATATTTTGAAAAGCTCTGCAACAGGCATCCAGTCCAAAAGAGCTTCATTCAAGATGTACACTTCTTCAGTATTTTTCTTTCATCATAAACTTTTATTCTTCATAAAAGATTCATTTCCCCAGGCCCATAAACTGACTACATCTAATTCAGTGTCGTTTTACAAATACTTCCATTCCTGGCATCAATCAAATGCAGCTGGCTTTCAAGCCACAAAACAACAGCTTGCTGCATTATCATGTTAAACAATATATATGAACTTCTCAGGCTGGGGAAGGAATGGCTGCAAAATCAGCAACTCCTTCTTTGTGCCAATGACGCACAGGGATCCGTGGAGGAAACTCTCCCAGGAAACTCTCCCAGGAAAGCTGCACTCGTGTCTTGGTGGGTCTCAATATCCAGGGTTTATTTGTCACACTTTCCGGGCAGAATCACTCAGAATCCCCAAAATCAGTCAGAACACCTCCCAGAGTTCCCTGGTCAGACACAGATCCCACTCCCAGGCCATTGCTCCAGAGGCTGCAGTTATCAGTGTGTTGGTTATTTGAAAATATTGGCAAAATCTTCCCTTAGGCACCTCAGGCAAAAAGTAAAATATAACACATGCACAGTTTTGGAGTGATTGGAATAGAGGGTTTCTGGGGAAAATCTCTTTGGCACTTTGTTAATAACCTCTTAATAACCTGCCTCACTCTTTTTTTCTTTTCTATCCTTTTTTTTTTTTTTTTTTTTTTTTTTTTTTCTTTTGCCAAGATGTCAAGAGAACACTACTACTGAACTTTTATTTATTTGCTACATGCAATTGCTGGGTTTAAAAGAAGGACTGGGCAGGAGTGGAAGTGAGGCTTATCTCTAGCCTGATGAGATGTGAACAAATGTCTCAAGCCTACAGCCTTAAGAGAATACTGAATTTGAAGACCAACAATAAAATATTAACCAGTTTAAGGACTGAAAAATGTAAACTTTATGAGAGCTACAGAGCTCAAAACTTCACAGTGGAATTCTCTCAGCTGATTTTCACTCTTTTTGTGGTTCTCCACTGTATGTTCAGTACATGAAATGTTTTCTACGTGAGTTACAGAAAGGGAAGGGCTTGTTCTCTTAATTAACACAACTGCACTGAAGAGTTGTTTCCACCTTCTCCACAGGTTCAGCTGTGTCTCTGTACATGATAACAATTGGTTTCACAATGTTACATTTTCCCAAAGTAAAGCTATTTTAACCCAAGAAGGAGGACAAAGAATAAAAAATGGGATGAAGAAGGACAAAATCAAGAGGGTTACCTATATCTCTAGTGCTCAACTTTCAGAAACTGGAACAAAGCAGGAAGCCTTCCTGACAATGTTCTCATCATAATTTATTATCATTTTGTACTTTAAGACAAAAGGCCCCGGGAGAGCAAAACAAATATAAGAAGAAAGGTACATTATGGTTCCAATCAAGGGCATTTGAATTGCAATTATGTGTGTCATTAAAAACTTGAAGGTGTTGCTCAATAAAGAAGACGTTTAGTAAGAATTCTTGAGTTCAGGCTTTGAGCATATCTTGTATTTTTACAGGGCAATAATTTTCTACCCTGTAGGGCTTCCTCACATTCTCTATTTAGATGTCTGGCAGGTTCTTTTAAGCTCTAGATGAGATGGCATCACTGAGCAGTACTCTGGGAATGCCACCGTACTGCAGTCAGCAGGAGACGTGAACTGCTGAACTGTCAGCTGTGGAAAGAATAATAAACAAACTTCTCCCAGTACACAAAAGAAACTTCAGTAATATTAAGTAGAGATGAAGAACTGTCAAAAATTGTTACTACCTACAGAGAGCTAATGCAGTCAGAAGCATAGAAA